TGGAGTACAAGAGGAAGGAGGTCTCTTTTCCTTGGGTGCTGCGACCAGGAACGCACACAGACAGCACAAGCAGGCAGCCATGGACCATGTACTCACCTGTGAGAGTGGAAGCAAGGTTTAAGGTAATGGTAACTCTGTAGACTGTGAAGACAGGAAGGCCTGGCGTGATCTGGTCCATGGGGTCGCAAAGAGTCGGACTCGACTGTGCGACTGAACAACAACAAAACTCTGTAGAGAACTAGAACATCTAAGCTAAAGAGCCTGCCCTATATTTCAACAGCTGATAGGGCATGTATAGAGAAAGGGACAAAGGATTTGCATTTCGACTAAGTTCTTTTTTATTCCTTGCTCAATTAGGTGCAGCGCTAAAATATGCTTGTAAACATTTCCTTTTTAATAAATACTTTATAACTTCTTATGCTGGGAGTGGTTTATTGTACCACATAGACTTCCACCATCTCAAACACACTATCTGAAGAGAGGAGCCGGGGAAAGGCAGGCAGTTGGCAAGTGGCTATTCCTCCAAGGGTGCCCAAGGCATTAATTTGTCCCCGCAGTGACCAGGCGCTGGGCAGTGGGAGACACTGTGGCAAGGCCTCTGAACTTGGAAAGGGAAACTGGGAGTCCTGGGACAGCTACAGAGAATTCTAAAATGTTTATCTTTAACAGTACAAAACAATAAATCAATATTAGGAATTATTATTGCCCTAACATACCACTGCAAGACATTTTCGTAGGAAAATAAACAATTTTCCTTTTAATATTGACAAAAATTGTATGCTGTAAAGTAAAATACACCTTTTGCTGCATAATAAAAAGTATTACTTGTGATATACAGGGAACATATTTGTGGAAGCCACATTGCTTAATGGGCGGGGATACCCAACTGAAAAGCTTTGTTCCACAATCTTGCTGCAGCCAGGGCTGAGATCTCATACAGGCCTAAAAGAGTTCACATTTATGAAATGTGGCAAACCAAGCAAAAGAAGAGCTTTTGAAAATACAAGGAAGATAAAAGACACCTCCCAAGCAATCATAAAACCTACGAAGTCTGCAAGATTATGTTTCAAACATGCAAATGACAAACATTCAGCATAACTTCCCTTGCTTTTATGAGTTGTATCTGAAAGGAGTTGTCTATATTACGATGCAAAAATTCCTCTTGCCTAATGCTGTGTCTGACTCATTAATATGAATCTGCCTATCAAAACCGAGATCTGTTGGAAAGGCCCTTCTTTCTGTGCAACCACCATCAGAGTGCCTTCTGTAGTGGTGTTTTGACGATGGAACTCCCTTTCCATGCGTAGCTAAAGTTCCAGTCAAAGACTCATCTTTTTACCTGGGCTTTTGGATTAGTTCCCCCCCCCCTTGCTCTGCTGTGTTTCATAGTAATTGATTTGATGGATTCTGATTCTGAGAGCCAGTGTGGAGAAGTCATTACTATTAGACTATGATTTTTTGGGGGAGGGCTGATTTTGAATCTTCATTCTACATGACTTGGGGGCCAGTCACTCTCTCTCACACACTAAGCGACCCCACAGGGTGTTGTGAAGATGGAATGCATGAGGGGAGAATGATGTTATAAGCAGCTCTGAGTCTCCATTGGGGAGAAAAGTGGGGTATTAATGTCTAAACAGATATATTATTTGATCTTTTTTGCTTGAATTCATTATCATCTTATTAAAATGCTAAATGTTATTGAAAGTTTAGATTATATCTTTTAAACTGTTATTTTAGGTTATTTAAGGCTGCTCTTATTTTGTACAAGCAGGTTTCATAGTGCTATTATTTTGTACATTTCCCTGGAAACAGTATGCTGAGTGGCAGACTAAAAGGTCTTCCAAATAATCAGTCAATCAATCTGAATTTATTAGGACATACACTGTTGCTTTCGAAATGTATGCAGTGTTGCACATGGATCACTCAGCATGATGAATCAATTATAACTATTATTCACTTTTATCAAAAATTATATTGTTGTAAAATGTCTAATAAACTTTCAAACGGCAGCCAAATTTGCCATGGTCACTACTGTGATAAATATCACCTGCTGTGATTAATCTTCTGGTTTGTAGTAGAACTGCTGGATGTGACAGCATAATGCAGACTGCAGAGCAAATACTTCCAATCTCAGAAGAGGACATTTAACATCTATGTATTTATCTAAAATATGGTTTCCTGGATTAAAGCTGCAATATTTATAGTGCTAACTATTAACTATTCTGAATGAACTGAATGAGACTCCCTTGGAGTAAATGAACTGGGCACTTTTAAAAACAGGTAAATACTTTCCTCATCCAAATCCTCAGCACGGTAGAAACTTCAGAAACTAGGGATATTCTCATAAGTGATACAACGAAGAATTTTAGACTAGACTGTCTGACTACTAAATTTTGTTGATGTGGGAGCAGGATACAGAGATGAACAACTCATTTTAAAACTATATTTTCGCCAATTCAAATTACAGATGCAGAAAAGGAAAGTTATTTATGTATACAAAAATTGCTTACAACTTTCCTCTCTTCCTTCCATTGCTTAGGGCATGGCTGGGGAATGACATGATCCAAATAGGCCTTGGTCTGGTTGATACTTAGATGAAAGACCTCCTGGTGACCCCATGTATACCACACTCGGTTCCCTCGTGGCTGTGGATGGTAGAAAATGGCCACCGTGGGGATGGGCAGGGAAACTGGCTGCCATGTGAGTGGCACCGGTAAAACCCATACTCTCCCAGCCACCCATCCAGGCTTTGCTCAGGCTTTTCCAAAACTTTGCAGCAAAACAAGCTTGGGAAAAACTGAGAAAAGAGATATCATGGGAGGTACACAAATTAACTCCAATGTTGTGGGGAAGGAGGAAAAGAACCCACTTCCCAACAGCATTGGACCCAGGGCAAATAACCCATGTGCAAAATGGCCCACATCACAGCCTTTGTGTAGGAAATATACTTAAAGAACATATGAACTGTAAAACTATATAGATTGTGTGAACACAATCATCATGTATCTTTGAATCCCCCCCGTCTTATTGCAACACAGTTACAATATTTGATATTTTAATTCCTGAGTTCTAAAATACGTCTGGTTTCAATCACTTTATATTAGGAATGTAAAATCTACATTGCCTGGATTGCTTGTCACATTACAAATGTCTCTTCCTCCCTTCTCTTACACATGAGCAATGGTACAATGTTCTGAATAGTGGGTCAGAGATAATTTAAGGATGCTGAGACAACCATCAAGTTGATTTAAGCAGCTAGCAAGGTTATGTATTATAATTTTAGCCTGCCCTTCCTCCAAGGAGCTCAGGATGTCATACATGATTCCCTGCCTTCATTTTATCTAGGCTGATTTGCCCAAGGTCACCCACTGAGTTTTATGGCAACTGGGGAATTTGAGCTGGGAGTTCTAGTCCAATGACTATACCATAACAACTTTAGTTCTATGCATGGTTATTTGAAAGGAAGTCACATTAAATAATTACTCCTGTGTAAATATACACACGATCAGGCTGCACAATTTTTAAAAACATTTTTTTGGGTTTCAATCTACAGAAGAAGCTGATGAGTAAATAAAACCTCCAAATAAAGATTCTGAGTTTATAATCTCCAGGCCAAATGCTTGTATAATCAGGCCACTCTGTTAAACATAGAAAAGCTTCTATAAACAGAAACACTTATGGACCTACTTCTCTCTCCAACTATTTTGACTCAGTCTGCCTTCTGCTTCAAATGATACGCCTTTGCAATCTGTTCTGGCATTTCTTAGGTCAGCTGAAGTTTAGCAGAGTAATCCCATGTTCACAGATCTTTATTCACTTTCAAGGAATTGAAGAAACACCATATCACTGAATTGTGCGGATGACACTGTGACCTGCTGCCCGCGTTAAATATCACGTTTCTGGCAAAGATGTACAGAGGCTCAAAGGATATCTTTTACTGGTCCAGCCTCTTCTAGGGAAACTGCAAGCTTTGTAGGCTAATGAGAAACCCAGCACACAGTTTGAGTGATCTATTAAGGGTAAGTTATACATATACAGGAGCTGTGGTGGCTCAAGTGGTTAAGACGCTGAACTGCAGGCTGTGGAAGGTCGGTAGTTCAGCAGTTCGAGACCCGGGTGCCGCATGATGGGGTGAGCTCCCATCTCTAGTTCCAGCTCCTGCCAACCTAGCAGTTTGAAAGGGGAAAGCGAAAAAACGTGCCACCTGCAAAAAAGGTTCCCAAGGGCATCAGCAGAGCCTCAGTTCCCACCTTTTTAATAAGTCATTTTTTTCCGTAGCAAGGAAGTGCAATGGAGGAAAATCCTGCATTCCGGATGCTGGTCTTAACTGTCCCAAGATATTATGGCACTAACTTCACTGTGCTCCTGGACAGCGACAAGAGCTCTTGCGGCATAAGTGGCTGTCAGGTGCATAGAGCAGGCGGCGGCTGGTGACAGGAGGCGAGCTGAGGAGATTGTCTAGAAAAGTATTTTTTGGGTGACTTTATCTTCCTTGCGTTATTTCTGCCGCGCGGAGATGTGATTAATACGGGACGTTGGGAATGTTCGGTGAAGATTTCAGTCCCCAGCCAGGTGAAGCGTCCAGTTTGGAAAACCACCACAGTCTGTTTCCATATGACGCTAAATATAACAACTGTATGTGGGCCAAGTACTCTGTACAGAGAAATCTGATTTGACATTCATACTATCGAATATCAATTCGGCCATACCCGAAAAGCGCCCCACCTTGGGACAGGGGCAGCCACGGCGACTGACTAGAAGCCTCTGGAGGCCGGTTTACCTCCTGAAGAAGTGGGCTCTGACTCACGGGAAGCCCATACCGGAGGCGCACGCTGTTCGCCCTCGAGGCGCCGTTGGGACTGGAACCTTCTTTTTCTCTTGTTCTTCCAACCACGCCTCAGACAAACCAACCGCGCCGCTCCCCCGTTACTTCTGCGCGTGCGCCTTTCGACCACGGCCCCAGGCCCGCGGCTCCTCCTCCTCCTGTTTTGGACCCAGGAGTGACGCATGCGCGCCGGGGAGTGTGTGTGAGGGGAAGAGTTCTCGGCGGCTGAAGTGTCGGATCGCGGGGCTGACGGTTGGAGCGGCCGGCTGCCCAGGCAAGCGGCGCCGTGACAGGAAGCTGCTTTCCTCCGGCCTCCGGGAGGGGGGGAGCCTGAGGTCCGTTTGGAACCCCGGCGTCGGCGCGAGGTGAGGACGTTACTGTGTGGCCGTTAACGGCTGAAGGGGGTAGAAGGGGACCCCCCCCGTTCCACTTCTCCCTTTCCGGTTCGTGAGTGCGGTCGGCTGCGGGGAAAGACCGACGACGAGAGTGGTGGCGGCGGGGGAGGCTTCATCCTCGCCCTCGGTGGCTGCCCCGCCCTGCCTGCTCGGCTTGCCTGGCGGTGGCTCGCTTTGTGTAAAGGGACCGCGGTGGCCTCCGGTGAGGGAATTGCGAGCTCCCGGTGTTTCGCCGCGCCGGAATTAAGCGAGGAGGGCGCTCCTGCCTGAGCTGAAGGCATCGCAGGGGTGGGGTGTGTGTGTGTGTGTTTGGGGGGGGGGAGGGTTGTCCGTTTCATCTCTAGGTACTGTGAATCGAGTGCTGGAAACACCGGTCACTTATAATAGGAAGAGGCAGGGCAGCCGCCACAGGAAGCTCCTGGTCTCCCTGACAGGGCGTGTTGGCTGCCAGGAGGACTTCTGTGGCCTGGAGAGCTCTGGCATCCCCCCGCCCTCGAGGTGGTGGTGTGCCCGCCTGGGGGATCTCGGAGGAGCGTGGTGGGAGCTGGCAGGGCGTCAGTGGCCCCCGGCGTTGGGGGCAAGGGAGGAGCTCCCCCTGGCGCGGCGTGGAAGTGGAAACTATTTCCGGGCGTCTGCTGAAGATCACTTTAATGTTAGGGTTGCCTGTTCCAGCTCCTGGGGGTGGGGGGGGGAGCCCTCTTATCTCCCATGCAACCGCCATAAACATGCTTGCTTGGAAATGAGCCCTAGCGAAGCCAGCGGCCTTTGTTTCTGTGCAGTGGAGTTTACTTATGCAGAACTCCCAGAGCAAATAATAATAAGACAGATTGCTTGCCTCCAGACATGTTTGCAAGAAGTGGCGGTGGAAAGTGCCGTCAAGTCACAGCTGACTTTTGGCGGACCCGGTAGAGTTTTCGAGGCAAGAGACCTTCGGAGGTAGTGCTCCCAAACTTCCTTGGTGGTCTCGCATCCAAGTGCTAACCGGGGCCAACCCTGCTTAGCTTCTGAGATCAGGTTAGTCTGGGTTATCCAGCTCAGGGCTTGTGAGATGTGCTGAAACCTAAAGTGGTCTGGGGTGGTGTTCAAAGGGTTTGTATGTGGAAGAACGCCAAGGGAGTAGCTTCATAACAGGAAAAGCCAAAACAGAGTTCCCCCCTCTCTGTACAACTCTCGGCAGTCCTAATTTTGCTTGCTCAGAAGTGAGTCACATTAATCTTGATGATAATTTAAAGTGATGTGTTCTCAGAATTGGAGCTGAAGAGCTACAGAAGCTCTTCAAGGTCTGGACTTGTCAACATGGCTTCATGTTTGTATTTTTGTTATAACTACAAGAGACAGAAAAATAATGTTCAATGGACAGAAAAATAAGGTACAAATCTTATGCAAACAAAAGATTTAAGCACATACTAATAGGTGAAATGGGAATTATTTGGGGCAGTTATTTCAGATTACTCAGATGGGAGTACAAGACTGCAGGGTGTAGTATAACAGTAACCTGAAATACACTGAGAAGGGGAATAGGAAGGGGCACATGATCTCCCGTTTTGTATATTTATTTATTTATTTATTATTTCAATTTGATATACCGCCCTAACCCCCGTAGGGGTCTCTGGGCGGTTTACATTTTTGGGTGCTAGTCACATATTTGAATCCTAACTAAGGCCACATCAATTCAATGGAAGGGGCTGCCTACCGGCACCCTGGTGGAGGCTGGTGTCATTCTTTCGGCTCGGCTCCTTTTCCCGGCTGCGAGATGTTCTAGCACTTAGGCAGACAGGTGGATGGTTCACAGGCGACGTCCTCCTCGGCCCGACTACGTCCTTCTGGCTCCACGCGCCTCTGGATGACGTCACCGCGCCTCCGTCCTCTGCCGACGACAGCCGCCTTGCTCTTTCTGCTGCTGGCCACCAGGGATCAGTCCCATTTGCTAATATTGAATGCTTATTTGGGGAATAGCCAGGTCTGTTGCATTAGAGCCTAACACTGAAGAAGGAGCAAGGTGAATTCTCATCAGTATATGTAGATTTTGTTGTTTCAGTAAATAATATGTTTAGTCAGAGTTAAATAAAATGATTAAACTGAGGCTATTGTACTTTATTTACCTTATGAGAAGAGCCACTGGAAAAGACAATAATGCTAGGAAAAGTTGAAGGCAGTAGGAAGAGAGGAAGACCCAACATGAGATGGATTGACTTAATCAAGGGAGCCACAGCCTTCAGTTTGCAAAACCTGAGAGAGGCTGTTAGTGATAGAACATTTTGGAGGCCATTAAATTCATAGGGTCGCCATAAGTTGGAAGTGACTTGACAGCACTTAACACACACACACAAATGATCATAGTTTTGGAGGTAACAAGTCGATTCAGAATCTGGAATTAGCAACCTTAATGTAGAAGTGATCTTCTCCAGATGCTTAGAAATTTCTGCTTCAGACAGGGCCAGTGGGAATCATTCCTTGTTCTCAATACCAGAAATGAGTACTGGTGTTTTGATACTGGGTGGATAAAGTAAGAATAGGAGGAAGGCCAGTTTGGTAGTAGTATGCTTTGGGGGAGCATATTGGGAATTGTGGTTCAAGAAGGTATGTTCAGAGTTTGACTTTTGCATAACTAAGAAGCTGTGATGCTCAGTAATATTTTCAAGTGTTGTGGCAGTAGTTGCTGTCCTTTATTTCAGTTATCTTTTTTGCTTCCTAATGAACTCTAGTCTGAACTTCATCATTGTTAATGGAATTATTAAATTCTGATCCTAAAGACGTTTACTCAAAAGTAAGTTCATTGATTTTTGTGGAGCTTGCACATACGGTTTGGGTCACAGTATAGTGTTCTGCGTTTGGAACATCAATAATAATTTTAAATGCAGCAAATTAGATTGAAGTAGTGTTTCTGTCTACTTAAAGATGAGTCTCACAAAGGCTCTATTTCTGTATCCTGTTCTTTTTTTCCTGTGGTATTTCTGTGCTTCAGGGAAGGATGAAAGCTGTCTTTTCCCTTGTGACAATGAAGGCTATAGGATGCAGAAGGAAAATAATTTGTTAAATTATAGCTATTTAGTTAGAATGTTAAGTTTTTATGATAATTTTATTTAGTGATTGCTACAGCTGCATGCTTATCACATCCTTACTACCTGAAGCATGGTGGAATACAGTAGATGTGTCCATCTGCTAAAAAGATTAATAATTTGAACACACTTCTTTCATATGTCTAGTACTTTTGACTGCATCCCCAGTGTGGCACCTGCCCCAAGTTCCAGGAAACTGGGCCAAGCCATTGCCTGGTAGAGCTTGTAGTTAACAGATGAGTCACACCTTAAAACAATCACTGCTGGAGGGACTGAAGGATGGTTGGGCTGCTAGCTTTCCTGAGCTGTGGACCTCATGCCAGGGATGGAAGTAAAGGGCCAATCTGCTGCAGCAACCCACTCACCCTTCTCTGTAGCCTCTGGTTAGAGTTATATATTGAATGTGTGTGTTTGGAGTGGTGCAAAGTGCATGCAGTAATCACCTGGCTTTGTTAGTTAATGGTAATTGTGAATGCAGCTCTTCACTAGCCATGGAGTAAGGACCACTGGTTTTACAGATTTATGGTGGGACCGAGAGTTTACTTCTATAATATATATTGGACTTCCAGTATTTCAGTTGTTATCTAGATCATTCAGTTACTAAAGGCATAATTCTTAGATAATTTCTGGTACTGTTGTGTTCTTTATGTTATGATTACAACTGCAGCATCTTTAAAATTTCTTGGGAAACATCTATGGGAGTAGCACAAATAGTACTTGTTTTCTGGTAATGATTAATTCCTCAGCTAGCTGTGGTAATTTCAGTAAGTTATAGGATGAGTAACTTTCTAATGAAGTTTGCTGTATAAATACAGAATATTACTGAAATAGATGTTGGTTAGGACATTATCCCACTACTTAATATACATAAACTGAAGATAATCATGATAAAAATTAGATCTTCCTCCTGGAGCTCTGCCTAAAAGCAAGATCTACCATAATCACTTCTAGTTATTTTCCATAAAATCTAGCTCTCAATTTTTTAAATACCTCTCACAAGACTTTGTTTTTAATAATGGCCAGTGCTCCCACATGTAAGAGCTTGGTCTCAATTATCTTGTTTATGTATGGAAGTATGATCCAGGGAGAAGCATCCCCCCCCCCCAAAAAAAACCCCTTTATATAACAACCACATTTGACAAGTGTGACAACCAAGTTTGTGTACATTATGTAATGAAAAGATAATAGAGCCAAAAATGTGTGAGGGCATGGCTATTGCTAGACAGTTCAAGGGTGGATAAGAGAACAATAGTGAGCTGATCATATTTGCTGCTTGTGTCACTTTTTGGTAAAGGCAAAATATAATAACTACAGCTGTGTAGCTTAAGTTTTAGACCTGGGCTATAAGAGCACTTCTGACTGTAATTTTGCTGTGTAACTGTTGGTTTTATTTATAATTAAATTACTGTGTTTTTATCTCCTCTGTGGAACAGTTTTTCATTTGGGTCACCAAGCCCCCTTCCCAAAAATTCTCATTAGACTATTGTCTCCTTCATTCTGTCACACTCCAGACTGGCAGTTGGGTGGCTTCACATTCTTCAGCCTCTCCCTCCCCCTCCCCAAGGCTGCAGGTATTTTTTAGTGTCCAGGGACATAGAGGGCAGAGCCAGATAAAAAAGCGATGCTTGGAATCAAATGCTGTTTACAGGAATATATAACGTTTAATTTTTAATTGGACGGGAATGGGGCAAACAGTATCTTCAAATATAAACATCACTGGCATACAAGAATCATAACTTGGTACATTTCAGGATATGATGTTAAAGTTCAAACTTTCATACATAAACATGTGGAGGAAGCATCTAGATTGTGAGGAAGTGGAAATCTAAATGTAAAAGTTAATTCCTTGCAATAGGAAGTATATAAAAGTGAAATACTACTGCTGAAACTGTGTTGCCGATATCTAAAGAT